TGAATAGGAGTGGTAAGAAAGGGCATCCTTGTCTTGAACCAGTTTTCAGAGGGAATGCTTCCAGCTTTTGTCCATTCAATATGATGTTGTCTGTGGGTTTATCATAAGTAGCTCTTATTATATTGAGATATGTTCCATCAGTACCTAGTTTATTGAGATTTTTTAATGTGAAGGGATGTTGAATTTTATCAAAGGCCTTTCCCGCATCTATTGAGATAATTATGTAATTTTTGTCCTTGGTTCTGTTTACGTGATGGATTACGTTTATTGATTTGTGTATGTTGAACCAGCCTTGCATCCCAGGGATGAAGCTGACTTGATCGTGGTGGATAAGATTTTTGATGTGCTGCTGAATTCGGTTTGCCAGTGTTTTACTGAAGACTTTTGCATCGATGTTCATCAGGGATATTGGCCTGAAGTTGTCTTTTTTTGCTGTGTCTCTTCCTGGTTTTGGTATCAAGATGATTCTGGCTTCATAAAATGAGTTAGGGAGGAGTCCCTCCTTTTCAATTGTTTGGAATAGTTTCAGAAGGAATGGTACCAGCTCCTCTTTGTATTTCTGGTAGAATTTAGCTGTGAATCCATCTAGTCCTGGGCTTTTTTTGGTTGGTAGACTATTAATTAATGCCTCAATGTCAGAGCTTGCTATTGGTCTATTCAGGTATTAAATTTCTTCCTGGTTTAGTCTTGGTAGGGTGTATGCATCCAGGAACTTACCATTTCTTCTAGATTTTCTAGTTTATTTGCATAGAGGTGTTTATAGTATTCTCTGATGATAGTTTGTGTTTCTGTGGGGTCAGTGGTGATACCCCCTTTATCATTTTTTTATTGTGTCTATTTGATTCTTCTCTCTTTCCTTCTTTATTAGTCTAGCTAGTAGTCTATTTTGTTAATTTTTTCCCAAAACCGGTTCCTAGATTCACTGATTTTTTTGGAGAGTAGTTCATGTCTCTATGTCCTTCAATTTTTCTCTGATCTTAGTTATTTCTTGTCTTCTGCTAGCTTTTGGATTAGTTAGCTCTCACCTCTTTAGCTCTTTTAATTGTGATGTTAGGGTGTCAATTTGAGGTCTTTCTAGCTTTTTGATTTGGGCATTTAGTGCTATAAATTTCCCTCTTAACACTGCTTTAGCTGTGTCCCAGGTTTCTGGTACGTTGTCTCTTTGTTCTCATTGGTTTCAAAGAGCTTCTTGATTCTGCCTTAATTTCATTATTTACTTAGGAGTCATTCAGGAGCAGGTTGTTAAATTTCCATGAAATCGTGTGCTTTTGAGTGAGTTTCTTAATCCTGAGATCGAATTTCATTGCGTTGTGGTCAGAGTGTTATGATTTCAGTTCTTTTGCACTTGCTGAGGAGTTTATGTGGTACCCATCTTCTGAAGTGTACTTCTGTCAATTCGTCCATCTGATCCTCCATCTAGTTCTGTGCTCTTGATGGAGAGACATTGTGATTATTTGGAGGAGAAGAGGCACTGAGGTCTTTTGGGTTTTCAGCATTTTTTTGTTGATTCTTTCTTATATCCGTGAGTTTGTCTAGTTTCAGTCTTGAGGCTGCTGACCCTTGGATGGGGGTTTTGTGGGGGCCTTTTTGTTGTTGTTGTTATCGATGCTGTTGTTGTCGCTTTCTGTTTGTTTTTCTTTCAATAGTCAGGTCCCTCTTCTGTAGGGCGGCTGCGGTTTGCAGGGGGTTCGCTTCAGGCCCTATTCATCTGATTCGCTCCTGTGCCTGGAGATATCACTCAAGGAGGCTGGAGTGCAGCAATGATGGGTGTCTGTTCCTTCTTCTGGGACCTCTGACCTCAAGGGGTACCAACCTGATGCCAGTAGGATTGCTCCTGTATAGGGTGTCTGACAACCCCTATTGGAGGTTCTCAGCTAGTTGGATGGCATGAGGAGCAGGACCCATTTAATGAAGCACTTTGTCCCTTAGTGGAGAGGGTGTGTTTTGCTGGGGGGAAACCCACTAGTCTGGGCTGCCTGGATTCCTCAGAACTACCTGGAGAAGAGGATAAGGCTGCTGGCCCACAGAGACTATGGCCACCCCTTCCCCCAGGGGCTCAGGCCCAGGGAGATCAGGGTTCTGTCCCTGAGCCTTTGGCTGGAATTGTTGGAGATCCTGTTGGGAATTCCCCACCACTGAGGAGAAGGATGGATCAGGGTTAGACTTGAAGAGGCATTCTAGCTGCCGACTGCCACAGCTGGTGTGTTGAGCTGTGGGGATAAATCTTGGGACCAAGCCATTCAACCTCCCTGGCTCCAGCAAAGGAAAAGTGCAGCCTGGAGCTATAGAAATGGGCACCACCCTTCCCCCACCCAGGGAACTTAGGCTGTTAGGCAGTTGTGAGTCCCAGTGCAGGCTGCTGCCCCTCCCCCAAGGAGCTCAAATGGCTTAGACAGCAGGCAGCTGCAGCTAGTGCTGGTCGCCCCTCCCCTCGGGAGTTCAGTAGGCTTAAGTGGATTCCAGCTGAGAGGTAGGAATCTGTGCATACCAGGGTTGGGACGCTTGGCCCCGGTGGCATGGGTTCGAGAGTGGGATCTTCCGATCTGTGGGTTGCACAGTTCTGTGGAAAAAGCACAGTTTCCCCAGCTGGGTAGCCTGGTCACTCACCACTTCCCTTGGCTGTGGGGAGGGGGTTCCCTTCCCGTGTGGCTCTCAGGTGGGCCACCGCACTACTGTTCTTCCTTCTCTCTGTGGGTTATGCCAGCCTTCTAGTCAGTTTTGATGAGAGAGCTTGGATACCCTGGCTACCAGTGAAGGATTCACATGCTTATTAAGGTTTTTTTTTGGGAGCCTCTGAGCATCACTGCTTCTAGTTGTCCATCTTGGCCCCTCTCCCATAGTACTAAGTCTTGAAACAGGAAAATGGGGGTCCACCAGCTTTTTTCTTTTTTCAAGATTGTTTAGGCTATTCTGGGTCTGTTGCATTTTCATATGAATTTCAGAATCAGCTTATCAGTTTCTACAAATAAATTTTGCACTGGAATTATGACAGGGATTGCTCTGAATCTATGTACACTTTGAGGTGTATTTTTATTTCAACAGTATTAAGTCTTCCAGTCCATGAACATGGGACGTCTTGTCATTTGTTTCATGTCTTGCCATTTGTTTCATGTCTTGCCATTTCTTTCAGACTTCTTTAAACAATGTTTTGTAGATTTCTTTAAATAATGTTTTGTAGATTTCTTTAAATAATGTTTTGTAGATTTCTTTAGATAGTGTTTTGTAGTTTTCAGAGTATAGGTTTTACACTTCTGTTAAATTTATTTCTAAGAATTTTATTTATTTATTTATTTATTTTTATTTTTTATTTATTTTTTTTTTTTGAGACGGAGTCTCGCTCTGTCGCCCAGGCGGGAGTGCAGTGGCCGGATCTCAGCTCACTGCAAGCTCCGCCTCCCGGGTTCACGCCATTCTCCTGCCTCAGCCTCCCGAGTAGCTGGGACTACAGGCGCCCGCCACCTCGCCCGGCTAGTTTTTTGTATTTTTCAGTAGAGACGGGGTTTCACCGTGCTAGCCAGGATGGTCTCGATCTCCTGACCTCGTGATCCGCCCGTCTTGGCCTCCCAAAGTGCTGGGATTACAGGCTTGAGCCACCGTGCCCGGCCTATTTATTTATTTTTTGTGACAGTCTTGCTCTGTCACCCAGGCCCTAGTGCGGTGGTACAATCTTCACTCACTGCGAACCTCCCGAGCTCACGTGATCCTCCCACCTCAGCCTCCTGAGCAGTTGGGACTACAGGCTCACACTGCTGTCTCACTAATTTTTGTGTATATATGTTTTTTTTTGAGATAGAGTTTTGCTCTTGTCACCCAGGGTGGAGTGCAATGGTGTGGTCTTGTGGCTCACTGCAACCTCTGCCTCCTGGGTTCAAGTGATTCTACTGCCTCAGCCTCCCGAGTAGCTGGGATTACAGGCACACACCACGATGCCTGGCTAATTTTCGTATTTTTTGTAGAGATGGGGTTTCACCATGTTAGCTAGGCTGGTCTCAAACTCTTGACCTCAGGTGATCCACTGGTCTTGGCCTCCCAAAGTGCTGAGAGTACAGGCATGAGCCTCCGCACCCAGCCATGTATTTTTTTTACAGACAGAATTTTGCCATGTTGCCCAACCTGATCTCGAACTCCTGTGCTCAAGCAATCCACCCACCTAAGCCTCCCAAAAGTGCTGGGATTACAGACAGGCATGAGCCACTGCAGCTGGTCAAGTACTTTATTCTTTTTGATGCTATTGTAAATTGAATTGCTTTTTAAATTTCATTTTGAATTGTTCACTGCTAGTGTATAGAAATGCAATTGATTTTTGTATATTGATTTTGTGTCCTATTGAACTTGTTTATTAGTTCTAATAGTTTTTTAGTAGGTTCCTTAGGATTTTCTGTATGTGAGATCATGTCTTCTGCCAATAGAGATAGCCCGAGTTCTTCCTCTCCAATCCAGATGACTTTTCCTTCATTTTCTTGCTGGGAGTCGGTTTAGAGGCTCGTTACAGATTGTCCACAGAGGGCTTCCTCTGCAGAGTTGGCTTGGTACTGCTTAGGTAGAGCTGCTGGGCCCATGGGAAGGTGCTGGCAGACAGGGCCCTGTTTGTTCTGGACATTTGTCTTTTATAATGACATTTCTGTCTTGTTGCTTCACACAGCTAAGGTAGTTTAAAAAACATATCCCTAAAGAATAAGAAAACTTCCATGATCATGCCTGTAATCCCAGGACTTTGGGAGGCTGAGGCAGGAGGATCACTTGAGGCCAGGAGTTCGAGACCAGCCTGGCAACATTGAGAGATCCCTGTCTCTACAAAAAATAAAAAATTAGCTGGGCGTGGAGGTGTGCACCTGCAGTCCTAGCTACTTGGGAGGCCAAGGTGGGAGGATCGCCAGGGCCCAGGAGTTGGAGGCTGCAGTGAGCTATGTTCATGCCACTGCACTCCAGCCTGGGCAACAGAGCAAGACCATGTCTCTAAAAACAAACAAACAAACAAACAAACAAACAAACAGAAACAACAAAAAAGAGACGGTTGTGTGAAAACATGTTTATCTCAGCAATGTGTAAATTACTGCTCTGATTCAGTTCTGTATCAGACAGCACTTCCCTCTGCCCCAATTTTCTGCTCCTGTAGCACACAAGGATGTTTCTGTTAAAGGTATGTCATACCTATGTATTTTTTCCTTTTTCGATTTCTCCACGGTATTGCAGCAGAAGCACACACGGGAATATGGAAAAATCTTCAAGTCTCACTTTGGTCCTCAGTTTGTAGTATCTATTGCAGACCGCGATATGGTGGCTCAGGTGCTCCGGGCGGAGGGCGCTGCGCCCCAGAGAGCCAACATGGAATCCTGGCGGGAGTACCGAGACTTGCGGGGCAGAGCCACCGGGCTCATCTCGGCGTGAGTATGTGGGCCCGGGCTGAGCCAGGGGCTGGAGGGAGAGCTCAGGGGGAGGCCCCCTCCTCCAAAGCTGGTTCCTAAAATCCAGCTCTTAGAAAAGCACAGAACCCCCCCATGAATGATATCTGACAGCCTGCTTGTGTGATCACAAGACACAGGAGCCCTGCTGGGTTTTCTCGCTCCTCCTCCGTGCCAAGTTGTCCCGTCAGGAGCTGGGAGGGGAGAAGCTGGCTCGGTGGTGGGCAGAGCTCTTTGGAGGCAGTGCTTTGTGGTGTCCGTTCAGTGATAACCCAGGCAGACAAAGCTCACAGCGCGCTTGTCTGTGCACAGGGGAAGGAGGTGGTCAGCCACTATTTCAGGAAAATCCCTTTGAGGGGGAGCTCAGAACCTCCAGCCTTGGTGGCCACGTGGTGATTTTCCTGTCTCTCAGCAGACTGTGATTATTCGTTTTGAACCAGCGTCACTAACACCTCTGTGCCTTCCCAGAGATCATGGCCCGCGGCCAGGCAGGGAGGCCCAGGTGCAGATGCCCCGGTCCAAATTCCCGTGGAGTGGGGCTCCTGTTTGCAGCTCTTTTCATATCTATGTCCTTATACACAAATTGGGGAGAAAGACAGCCCCCAATTTCTCAAGTAAGATAAATAAGAATCGCGACCGGATGTCACCAGGGTCCCTCAATTTCCATCCTGAGGGGATAATTACACAGCTCCTCCTGGATGTTCAGGCCTAGAGGGAGGGGCCCGAAGGCTGAGGCAGAATCTCTCCGCTGTCTGCCCCGTTAGCTGCGGGCTCAGGAGCCTGTGTGGGTGCCTGGACCCCTCTTCCGCTGAGATGGAGTGAGGCGGTGCTGGTGACCTCAGCACGGTCGACAGCAAAGGAAGGGCAGTGCCCAGGCCCAGGAGCCTGGCTGGCTTAGCTTGGGTCCCCTACAGCCCATCTGGAGGCCAGGCTTTGAGTGCAAGCCGTATCCTTGGGAATGGGAAGCAGGGCACGGGTGGGAGGGAAGCCATGCAGAGGTGTGGAGGTGTGGGTGACGCTTGTGGGTACTTGAGGCTCAGTTCTGTCACCACCCTCTGAGAAACTGCAGAACCCTCCTGAGACCTCCAGGGGTTCCTTCAGCGTCCTGCCTCCACTGGGAGGGCTGTGCTGGGCCCACTACCTGAGTGCCCTCCGAGTGCAGCCAGGAGCCCCAAGGCCCCACACCCTGGTAACAAGCTGCAGTCTCTCTTTTCTTTCCTTCCTTCCCTCCTTCCTTCCTTCCCTCCTTCCTTCCTTCCTTCCTTCCTTCCTTCCTTCCTTCCTTCCTTCCTATCTTCCCCCTTTCTTTCCTATCTTTCCCTCTTTCTTTCTTTCTTTCTTTCTTCTTTCTTTCTTCCTTCCCTTCCTTCCCTTCCCTATCTTTCCCCCTTCTTTCTCTTCTCTCTCTTTCTTTCTCCTTCCTTTTCTTCCTCCTTCCTTCCCTTTCCCTTCCTTCCCTTCCCTTCCCTTTCCTTTTCCTTTCTTCCTTTCCTTCTTTCTTTCCTTTCTTCGTTCTCCTTCTTTTCTTCCTTTTCCTTCCTTCTCCCTCCTCCTCCTTCCCCTCTTCCCTTCGCCTTTCTCTCTCTCTCTTTCTCTTCCTTTCTTCTCTCCTTCTCTCCTTCTCCTTCCCCTTTTCCCTTCTCCTCCTTCTTCTTTGCCTTTCCTCTCGTTCCTTTTCTCTTTCTTTCTTTCTTTCTTTCTTCTTCTCTCTTTCCTTTTCTGTCCTTTCTCCCTTTCCCTCCTTTTTCCTTCCCACTCCTTCCTTCCTTCCTTTCCCTTCGCTCTCCTTCCGGTTCCTTCCCTTCCTTCCTTTCTTTCTTTCTTTCTTTTCTTTCTTTCTTCCTTTTTCTTTCCTTTCTTTTCTTCTCTCTCACTTCTTTCTCTCTCCTCTCTCTTTCTTCTTTCTTTCTTTCTTTCTTCTCTCTCTTCTTCCTTCTGTTCCTTCTCCTCTTCCTTCCTTTTTCCTTCCCTCCTTCTTCCCTTCCTTTCTCCTTCCTTCCCCCTTCCTTCCTTCCTTCTTCTTTCTTTCCTTTCTTTCCTTTCTTTCTTCTTTCTTTCTTTCCCTCCTCTCCCTCTGTTTTCTTCCTTCTTCTTTTTCCTTTTTCCTTCCTTCTTTCTTTTTTCCTTCCCTTCCCTCTCTCTCTTCTTTCCTCTTTCCCTCTCTTTTCTCCCCTCTTTCTCTCCTTCTCCTCTTCTCCTTCCCCTCTCCTTCTTCCTCCTTCTTCTCTTCCCTTCCTTCCCTCCTTCCTTTCCTGTCTTTCCTTTCTTTCTTCTTTTCCTTCTTCTTTCTTTCTTTCCCTTTCTCCTTTCTTTCTTTCTTCCCTTTCCTTCTCTCTCTTTCCTTCCTTCCTGTCTCTCCTTTCCTTTCCTTCCTTCCTTCCTGTTCCTTCCCTTCCTTCCTCCTTCCTTCCTTCCCCCCTCCCCTCCCCTCCTTTCTTTCTTCCTTCCTTCCTCCTTCTTTCTTTCTTTCTTCTTTCTTTCTTTCTTCCTTTCTTTCTTCTTTCTTTTTTCTTTTCTCTCTCCTTTCTTCTTCTTTCCTTTTTTTCCCATTGGTTGAGACGGAGGTCTTCCACTCTGTTTTTCTTTCGCCTAGGTGACGCAAGCATTTGGAATCTTGGCTCGCCGTGAACTCTGCCTCCCGGTCAAGTGATTCTTCTGCCTCAGCCTCCCAAGTAGCTGGGATTACAGGTGTCCGCCACCACACCCAGCTAAGTTTTTGTATTTTTAGTAGAGATGGGGTTTCTTCATGTTGGCCAGGCTGGTCTTGAATCCCTGACCTCAGGTGATCTGCCAACCTCGGCCTCCCAAAGTGCTGGGATTACAGGCATGAGCCACCATGCCTGGCCCTCTTTTTCTTTTTTAATATCAATACTTACTTCATTTATATATACATATGTATGCATACATATATATATACCTTTTTTTCTCTTTTGCTAATTAGCAGTCTCATTTGCTTATTACAATACTATTTCAAGATTTTTTAAAGGAAGTGGTATTACTTTTACTAAAGATGAATACTTACCACTGGTAGTTTTTTCCTTAAAGTTTGCTTCAAAGGCAAGAGTGTAAGAAGCTCTAACAGGCTCCAGGGCTGCAGTTATTAACTCCTCTCTCCCCAGCAAAAAGTTTTTCCTGTCTTAATTCCACTTTGGCAGCTCTTGTTGATTCTTTATGGCTGAAGATTTTTCTAGAGGTTCCTTGAATTCTTTCCCAGAATGTCAGTGTAAGTAAGATGATTTGAAACTCACTTGATTCTTCTAGGGAAGGTGAACAGTGGCTCAAGATGAGAAGCGTATTGAGACAAAGAATTCTGAAACCGAAAGATGTGGCCATTTATTCTGGAGAAGTCAACCAAGTTATTGCTGACTTAATTAAAAGAATCTACCTCCTCAGGAGCCAGGCAGAAGATGGAGAAACCGTGACCAATGTCAATGACCTTTTCTTCAAATATTCAATGGAAGGTGAGGTGGAATCAGCAGGTGGGAAGGAAGGAAGAGTGGATGCTTGCCCCAAACCCGCAGATGTCATCTTGGAACGTACCCTAGGTCCCAGGCAGTGTGCTAAGTCTGGGACATACATGCGTATCACCTGCACGGTGCTACGTGAACCTGGTGTGAACCACTGTTGACCAATGAGGAAACTGAGATTTTTTTTTTTTTTTTCCTGAGACAGAGTCTTGCTCTGTTGCCTGGGCTGGAGTGCTATGGCATGGTCTTGGTTCACTGCAACCTCTACCTCCTGGGTTCAAGCGATTCTCTTGCCTTAGCCTCCTGAGTAGCTGGGATTACAGGCACCTGCCACCACGCCTGGCTAATGTTTTGTATTTTTAGTAGAGACAGTGTTTCACCTTGTTGGCCAGGCTGTTCTCGAACTCTTGACCTTGTGATTCACTCGCCTTGGCCTCCCAAAGTGCTGGGATTACAGGTGTGAGCCACCGTGCCCAGCTGAAACTGAGACTTAAAAAAGAACTTGCCCAATGCCACACCCCCATCCCTCTTTTTAGAGGCAGAAAGTTAGTTTCAAATTCAGGTCTTTTAAACTCAAGAAGCCATGTTCCTAATTACTACACATTTTGTTTGAGCCTATTAAAAAGGAGTAAAGTTGAGAAGGCATCTACTTCAAACTCGTTCTAGCTTTTAGTCATATTGAATGGGTGGTACATTCCTGTTCAAATAGCAATACCAAAAGGGGGTCAGTGAAGGTCTCCCTCTTTCCTGAAGGCAGCAAGGTCACTAGTCTCTCATGTATGTGTCAAGAGATGGTTTATGCACATACAGAAAAATGCGTGTGAATATTCTATTTTTAAACAATAAATGGTTGTACACCAAACATACTGTTCTGCACCATGCTTTCTCTTTACTTAAGAATGCATCTTGGGGCCGGGCATGGTGGCTCACACCTGTAATCCCAGCACTTTGGGAGGCCGAGGCGGGTGGATCACCTGAGATCAGGAGTTCGAGACCAGCCTGGCCAACATGGTGAAACCCTGTCTCTACTAAAAGTACAAAAATTAACTGGGCCATTGTGGTGGGCACCTGTAATCCCAGGGACTTGGGAGGCTGAGGCAGGAGAATTGCTTGAACCTAAGAGGCGGAGGTTGCTGTGAGCCGAGACCGTCCAATTGTACTCCAGTGTGGGTGACAGGAGTGAAACTCCATCTCAAAAAAAAAAAAGAAAATCATCTTGGTCTAACATGGTGATTTCTGTGTAAAAAAAAAAAAAAAGAATGCATCTTGGAGGACTTTCTATCAGCTTTCTCATCTTTTTAAAAAAAAGCTTACCTCACTTCAAGCTTCACTCAGGTTAGCTTTGCAGAGTTCTGATATTAATTTTCTCTAAAATTAATAATAAAATCGTCCCAGAAGTGATTGGTAAACACGGTTCACAGCTCTGCCCAACACGGATTCATCCAGGCCACTTCTACTGTGCCTTTAGCTCTCCGGGCCTGGGCTCCCTGTTTTGGCCAGGAGGAGTCACTTCTCAATTCCTCGAGTTGGGCAGGTGGCTGGAAGGCCATCCCCAGTGGCCATGTGGGGCAGGAAGAGGCCCTGTGGGGTTTGCCACCTCCTTCCTGAGGGGAGGGTGTTAGGGGAGAGCAGTCACATGCTCAGTGATTGTCCCTTCCCTAGGGCTCATCATTTCAGACCCTGCCCCCGGTCTGTCCCAGGATCCTCCTCTGCAGCCTTAGCCAAGCTGCTGAAACTCTGGGAGTCTGAGTTTCCTCCGGAGAGAGGGCTTCACCTGCGCCTCCCAGGGCTGTGGGGCTCCTTAGATGAAGCAGCAACAGCGCCACCTGTCAGTCCTAAATGCCAGCACCCTGCAGCTCAGGACGCAGAGGCATCCTCAGAGTGACGATGTCTCATTGGGGACATTTGGACCACGTTTGAAAGTTGCACTTATGGCCCAACATTGCCTGTTGGTATGGTAAATAATCTAGAAGAGGGTTTTCAACTTCTCTTTCCTGTCTAGGAGTGGCCACCATCCTTTATGAGAGTCGTTTGGGCTGCCTGGAAAACAGCATACCACAGCTGACTGTGGAATACATCGAGGCCCTGGAGCTCATGTTTAGCATGTTCAAGACCTCCATGTATGCAGGCGCCATCCCCAGATGGCTTCGCCCCTTCATCCCAAAGCCCTGGCGGGAATTCTGCAGGTCCTGGGATGGACTCTTCAAATTCAGTAAGAGAAGAATTGAGAGCACCTTTTGCAGAAGCAGGTTGACCTGCCGTGTCGTGTGTCTAACTCTCATCCAGACAATGGGTGACCATAGCAGAGGATGCCTAGATGTAGTCATGTGTTGGTTTTTGGACCCATAACTTTTGGATTTGTTTTTGTTTTGTTTTGTTTTGAGATGGAGTCTGGCTCTGTCGCCCATGCTGGAGTGCAGTGGTGTGATCTTGGCTCACTGCAACCTCCGCCTCCTAGATTCAAGCGATTATCATGACTCAGCCTCCCGAGTAGCTGGGATTACAGGCGCCCACCACCGTGCCTGGCTAATTATTTTGTGTTTTTAGTAGAACCGGAGTTTTACCATGTTGGCAAGGCTGGTCTTGAATTCCTGACCTCAGGTGATCACCCACCTTGACCTCCCAAAGTGCTGGGATTACAAGTGAGCCACTGTGCCTGGCCATGGATTTGTTTTTCAAAGAAGTAAAAAGCATGTGGGTTGTGACTACAGGCAACTTGATCAGGTTTTTCATTTTAAAATAATTTTTATTTTAACAGGCATGCTAGCAGGGACATGTACAAGTAAATGTCCATGCAAGATGATGTCTTTACTCCAAGTAAATTGGTCAGTGCTTAAACTGTAGAGTTTCAGGCCCATGCACATTTATTTGAACGTTACAATTTTTGTTCCAATCCAAGGTGAGACTACAAAGAGATTTGTTTTCTTATGTGACTAAAAGTTTTACTATAAAAACATTTCCAAAAAGAAAGAAATTATTTTCAAAATGCTTAGAACAATGTTCTAGAGCAATGCTAACACTGAAGAAAGTGTTTCATGGTGTCTTTTCAAGATCAATATTTAGGCTGGGCACAGTGGCTCATGCCTGTAATCCCAGCAGTTTGGGAGGCTGAGGCAGGAGGATCACCTGAGGTTAGTAATTCAAGACCAGCCTGGACAACATGGCGAAACCGCATCTCTACTAAAAATACAAAAATTAACTGGGCGTGGTGGTGCGTGCCTGTAATCCCAGCTACTCAGGAGGCTGAGGCAGGAGAATTGCTTGAACCTGGGAGGCAGAGGTTGCAGAGAGCCAAGATCATGCCACTGCACTCCACCCTGGGCCACAGAGCAAGACTCTGTCTTAAGGAAAAAACAACAACAACATTTCTTTGAATATATAAGTCCTGAAGTCTGTGCTGTATGGTAACATCCCAGATAATAATGCATGGCCTTTTCCCTCCATTCATTTTCTCTTCTGAAAATGTGGTAGATAAAAATAAAAGAGTTTGCGTTTTTGTTACTTATATTATATAAATAATGTATTTGGCTATTGGATTAGTAAAGCAAACATTTGCAAATATCTTACAGCTTATTTTTAAAAAGGAAGATATGTTTAGCTTGTCTTTTAACTTTTCATTCATTTACATAAGCAAGTGTATGAGTGAAACTCCCAGGTTGACGTTAGATAAATTGGGTTTCCTTACCCTCTGTCACCTGCCCCTGGTTTAGTTAAGCTACTGGGAGGACAGAGGGCATTGAGACTGAAAAGATGATTGTCAACCCAAACTCCTTTCAAAAGAAATACTGTTTTCAAACAGGCCAAATTCATGTTGACAACAAGTTGAGGGACATACAGTACCACACGGACCGAGGCCGGAGGGCGAGCGGGGGACTCCTCACATACCTCTTCCTTAGCCAGGCGCTGACGCTACAGGAGATCTACGCCAACGTGACTGAGATGCTGCTGGCTGGCGTCGACACGGTGAGTCTGGGGTCCTGGTTCTCAGCAAGCAACACACGATAACCCCTTCCTCACCATCTCGCGGACGTTGTCTACTTTTTTTGCGGGGGAGGATGGAGTTTTACTGTATCGCCCAGGCTGGAGTGCAATGGCATGGTCTCGGCTCACTGCAAACTCGGTCTCTCAGGTTCAAGTGATTCTCCTGCCTCAGCCTCCAGAGTAACTCGGATTACAGGTGCCTGCCACCATCCCCAGTTAATTTTTTGTATTTTTAGTAGCAATGGGGGTTTCACCATGTTGGCCAGGCTGTCTCGAACGCCTGGCCTCAGGTGATCCACCTGCCTCGGCCTCCCAAAGTCGCTGGGATTACAGGCATGAGCCACTGTGACTGGCTGTTGTCTACTTTTACGGCAGATTTGTTTAGCACACTGTTCATGTTTGTACTAGGCCTGCTGCACTGCTGAGGGGCTCCAGGAGGAGAAAACTCTGCGTGAGTAGTCACGCATCACTTAATGATGCAGATTTGTTCTGAGAAATGCGTTGTTGGGTGGTCCTGTCATTGCGTGAACATCTTAGAGTGTATTTACACACACCTAGATGGTAGCCTACCAGACACCTAGGCTGCATGGTCGAGCCTATTTCTCCTAGGCTACACAACTGTACAGCATGTTACTGTACTGAATACTGTGGGCAGCTGGAACACAGTGGTAAGTATGTGTGTATCCAAACATACTCAAACACTGGCAAGCTACAGTACAAATGTGGGATTATAATCTTACGGGACCACCGTTGTATATTGGGTCCATCATTGACCAAAACATCCCTATACGATGCATGATTATATATTAAATGTAAGGTGCATAATGATTTATGTGAAAAGCGTAACCAAAATTCCATATCACACACACAAAATTATAATAAATGTTTACAGTTTACAAGTCATTCCTAACATTTTGTCATTGTTTCATAATTTCACGAATGAAGAGGGTACGGACATTAAAAACCTTATTAGTTATCATTTGAAATATTCCAGGCCGTGGAATTTATTTCATAAAGCCAAGAATTCATTTCATTCACCCCTCAATTTGTTATATAAAGCCAACATAACTTCAAAACCAAAACCTGCTAAAGAGAGTGTGAAGAAAGTAAACTTAAGCAGTTTGGTTGATGAGAGAGAGAGTATGTGTGTGTGTGTGTGTGTGTGTGTGTGTGTGTGTATCAACAAATTCCCTGTGAATGCAGCCTACTAGCGTGGCAGATCAATGATACACTGGACCCAGGGAGGGTTCATATCAGAATGAGAACAGAGCACTGCCCATTAACCTGGGGGCATCCCACAGGCTATCCGATGGGAAAGGAAGAGGCAGACCAGCGGGTATACCGTGTCCTGTGGGTAAGACGCAGCGGCACCGCCCCCTCCCAGCTGTGTGCATGTGCACATCTATCCGTGACTGCGTGAACACAGAGCAGGGCGTGGAGGGAACACACTAGGTAGTTAACACGAGTTTCTTGGCTGGATGGGAGTGGCATGGTCCAGGGGGGATAAGGAGCCAAGTTCCTTTCAAAAACACATGTATAATATGATACAATTAATAGGATATGTGTGAAAATGATCCCCATGTAGGTACAGGTGTAGAGCAGTTGTAAAATTTGCTAAAAGGAAGTGGCAAAACAGGGAGAAGCTAGGCTGATGCTTTCAGTAGGTGGAAGATAATGAAATTTCTGGCCGGAAACTGGGGAAGCTGCAGGCTGGGGTGCTTCTGGTGGTCGGGTGGAAAGTGAGAATTTAGATTGCGTGACGCTTCGCTGTTTCCAGAGCATTCCATGCATACCCTGCCTGTCTCACGGCTTCCTCTAAGGTAGCAGTCGTTGACTTCATTAACAGGTGGCAAAACTAAACAACCAAGCTCATCATCTGAAAGCTTTTCCTTTGCACGGGTGCTTCCCGGCCTTGAATAAGGCACTCCCTGCACAGACCTCCATCTTAAAGGGACGAAGAAGCCTTAAGGCTTTATTATTATTATGATGTCACTTAAGCATGTAAAAGCAAAAAACGAAACAAAACAAAAACACACACACAGCATAAACTCCTTATTCTTTTGTATCGTGTGCAACAATAAAACAAAAAGTATATGAATTCAATGCAAACTAAATGATGCAATCAATGAAGATTCTAATTAACCGTGTGAATGTGATGGTGTGGATTTGCTCAAATTGAGACACCGCTTGAAAGGCGAAGAAATGAATGAATGGCCTGGTCGCTGAGCTTGTGCCTCCTGCCCCCTGGTGGTAACTAAGAACATCACAATGAGGTGACATTCAGAAGGAAGCTGTTCCTTTTAGCATCCTACAATAGAAGCCAGGAGACAAATTCTTACAACTTCATACTGATTTTTAAAAATTAGTATGATTTTATTGCAGCATAATTTATGCAAAGTCAACTCCATTTAAACTGCCTAATGCGATACAGATTGTTGACAGATGGAATCATTTATGAAACCACTGCCACATTTTTCTAAACATTGATGAAAATGGAGTCATATGGTATGCTGTCTTTTGCATCTGGCTTCCTGCACTTAGAAGAATGACTCGGATTCATCCATGTGGTGGCATATAACAGTAACTGATTCTTTTTTATTACTGAGTAGTATTCCATCGTATGGATATACCACATTTTTTCCGTAAAAATGTGATTTTAATAGAAATTTTCTATTCTCTTGATAGGAAGCATCTAAGTAATCTTTTATAATTTATAAGAGCTTGCACATTCTATTATATATACAAGTGGCCTGCCCTCCAAAACACGTGATATCTTCTACAAGAAAATGATATCAATATTGCCTGCTTAAATTAGGTTTTTTTTTTTTTTTTTTGGTGAAAGAGAAAGGCCTTTATACTGTGGCATTTCCTTGTTTACAAGAGAGTGAAATGTAGCCCCATAGATGATACTATTGATTTTAGTGAAAATCTTGGGACCTACGAGAATAAAACAATGATTTTCAATAAGTAGAAAGGTTTGAGGAGAGGTATAAAAAATGACATGGCTGGCCAGGCTCCATGGCTCACGCCTGTAGTCCCAGCACTTTGAGAGGCTGAGGCGGGCAGATCACAAGGTCAGGAGTCTGAGACCAGCCTGACCAACACGGTGAAACCGCATCTCTACTAAAAAATACAAAATTAGCTGGGTGGGCGTGGTGGCGGGCACCTGTAGTCCCAGCTACTCAGGAGGCTGAGGCAAGAGCATGGTGGGAACCCGGGAGGCGGAGCTTGCAGTGAGCCCAGATCACACCACTGCACTCCAACCTGAGCAACAGAGCGAGACTCAGAAAAAAAAAAAAAAGACACACTGCTTTGTATAGACAAGCTATTGACTTGCTCTGTGTGGACCTTCCTTGATGAAGGCAGGACACGATGGCTAACTAGTGATCCCCTGTGCACTCCAATATCTAGATTAGGGCAGCCAGAGTGGGCTGGGCCCAGCTTCCTGGGCCTGGGGATGCCGGGGGGCAGCCTGAGGCCCTTTCTGGCACACAGCGAGTAAGCCCTGCAAAGAAGGTCACACGAAGTCCCAGCAGATCCTCCAGGCTCCACAGTGTCCCTGACATACTGCTCTTCAGTGATTAAAAAAGCTCCAGGATCATGTTTCCTGTGGCTTTTCATGACAGCAGCACACGAATCATAGAGTCCATGTCACTTGCCAAATACGTTCGGTTATTATTATTATTATTTTTGCCATGAATTAAGGAAACAGTCTTTCGTTTCAGTAAGACATTAAGTGCTATATGGAATTGGATGAGTTTGACTTTGCAGCTGTGTGTATTCCCAGGGGACTTCATACCTGCCACCGTGTCTGTTTCAGTCCTGGTGTTACTCACTGCCTGCCTGTGTCTGCCGCTTTCTCTCCTTAGACGTCCTTCACCTTGTCCTGGACAGTGTACCTCCTGGCAAGGCACCCAGAGGTGCAGCAGACGGTATACCGGGAGATCGTCAAGAATTTAGGGGAAAGGCATGTTCCAACTGCAGCTGATGTCCCCAAGGTCCCGCTGGTCAGAGCTCTCCTTAAGGAAACCCTGAGGTAAAAGGCTCGCCAGAATCTATCAACAAACTGTGTCCCTTACGTCCCTGGTTCTCTCTCATAACAAGTTCTCCAGCTGCCTTCCATGACTGACTTGTTTAGGATGAGGACATTCGTGGCTGTTATTTTTCCTCTGCTCTTGTCAGAATAGCAGAAAGACCATTCTGTTTTATGGGTCGACATATCCTTGTTCTCTGTAAATATCTTTGGGCTGGGCACAGTGGCTCACACCTGTAATCCCAGCACTTTGGGAGGCTAAGGCAGATCACCTGAGGTCGGGAGTTCAAGAGCAGCCTGGCCAACATGGTGAAACTGCGTCTCTACTAAAAATACAAAAATTAGTCGGGTGTGGGGATGGGTGCCTGTAGTCTCAGCTACTTGGGAAGCTGGGGCAAGAGAATCACTTGAAGTCAGGTGATAGAGCCGAGATTGCACCACTGCACTCCAGCCTGGGCAACAGAGCGAGACTGTCTCAAAAAAAAAAGATTTTTGGAGCAGTCATTGAATATTGTCCCTGCTTTAGCCAATTGGCTTATCGGGGGTTTCCCAACATATGCCTGGGTCAACGGCCTTTGACTTTGTTCCTCTGAAGATAACACTAAACAAGATCGATATGTCAGGAAAACAGTTTGGGCGTTCTGCTGATTTCCAGACCTGGGTACAGACCTCATGGTTCTTGTGTGAATGTCCTCATCTGGGTTGAGAAGCCACCCACTGAGGCTCATTTGCTCCCAGACAGGGCTTTCCTGACAAAGGGGAAAGCCGGAGGGATGTGGGCTGTCCTGGGTTGAGGGGATGGTTTGGGTAGGAGGTGGGATTAGGGACAGATGACATCCCTTCCCCAAAACACGGCATCCTCTGTGAGGAAGTGCTGTGACAAAGAGCAAAGCTTGTTTTCTGCAGTATGTACTAAAGAATTCTTTCAAAGCTGACTTGATAATGACCCTCAACCTATAGAGCATGCTGTTCAATCTCAAAATTAAAAAAAAAAAAAAACAAAACAGGAGCTGGCTGTGGGGTTTTTGGTATTTATCAATTAAAGTTTTATTCAGTGTTTTCTGAGATAACCTGATGGCTGAAATGCCGTTTCTCCAAATGCATTTCATGGGGCCTTAAGTCCTATGAGCTATTCCTTGATAAAGTGGTCCCATGGTCACATAAAATATTAGAAACCTGGAATTTTCCCTTCTGGGAACACAATGGCATGTGAAAGACTTGGCTTTGTGTTTTGCAAACGTTTTGCTTTGGGAATCTTTTCCACATTCCTCAGAATACTTGCTGGCAAAGCAAGACAGCAAAGAAGCCGCCAAGGTCCTTGCAAAATGTTTCAGTTGAAAAAGTATCATGTGTTACTTTTTAAGAATTTTTAACGGAAATGGGAATATATCCGAGGTTCTGAATGTTCAATAAAATATTGTGAAAGTCAACACATCGTTCCTGTCCCCGCTGGCTCTTCTGCAGGCTGTTTCCAGTGCTGCCAGGGAACGGCCGGGTCACCCAGGAAGACCTGGTTATTGGCGGGTATCTGATTCCGAAAGGCGTGAGTTTGGGGACATAGGGGTTGCCCAGGCCTTGCGGGTTGGGGTTGAATTGGAATCTGCTTCTACCTTCAGAGAGTCTTTGTCCCTAAGCAGAGATCAATAGGTTTCCTTTTCTTTTGCATGTATTTTAAGATGAAGATGGGGTATTGGGAGAAAGGAAGGGAATGGTGTGATCTCAAAGTTCTGGAAACTTACTGCTTACCAGCAAGGCCGCCCATGCTCCTTGGCCTGCTCCCCGGGCCGTGTGGAAGTAGCCAGTCACTGCGGAGAGTCTCTGCAGGGCTTGATGTTCTTGTCAGTGGTTGCAGTGACATTTGGTGTGCACTGTGGAGAGGGAAGGGAGGGAGCTGCTGCCATCCTGGGTGTGAGTGGACCCAGGCAGCCCCCGGGAGGGAGCATCCTGGGAGACTGTCCTGCTAGGGCTCTGGGCCCTGCCCTGCTCTCGTGTGATTCTGCTCCTTATCCTTTCTGTGTCATCCCTGATTTCCTCAGACCCAGCTGGCCCTTTGCCACTATGCCACGTCGTACCAGGATGAGAACTTCCCTCGGGCCAAGGAGTTCCGGCCTGAGCGCTGGTTGCGGAAAGGAGACTTAGACAGAGTTGACAATTTTGGATCCATCCCCTTTGGTCATGGGGTTCGCAGCTGCATAGGGCGGAGGATTGCAGAACTGGAGATTCACCTCGTCGTGATCCAGGTAGGGCGTGGAGGCCAAACGTTGGCCTTTGGGTTCGGCCTCTTTCTACCGGGCTCAACTGGATAAAGACTTCCAGGTTAAAAAGAAAACACGATTTTGGAAACTTAAGAGCAAGAGCTGTCAGGCATTGCGGCTCACGCCTGTGGTCCCAGCTACTCAGGAGGCTGAGGCGGGAGGCTCACTTGAACCTAGGAGTTCAAGGCTGCAGTGAGCTCCAGCCTGGGCGACAGAGTGAGGCCCTATCCAAAAACAAGCGCTCTGCATGAAATCCCTTGAAAATGACTCCCCATCTCCCGTGCCCACCCCGCCCCCCAACCATGGCAGCCACTTCAACCCCATGGCCTCCTGCCTTGCGTCACTCCTTCCTTGGAATCGTGTGGGTGGATGACAGTCCACGGCCTGAAGATTTGGATGGGGTGTGTGTCACTGGGGGTGTCGGGGGCCCAGAGCCTAGCTCTCCAGCCATCACACAGCAGGTTGGGAGAGAGGGGAGCGAGGGTCAAATGAGTGGTCTTCAAACGCTAGGGAGTATAAAGCCAGCAGGGAGGGCCTTACAAGGCAGACTCCTAGCCCCGCCTGCAGAGTCGCGGGTTTGGTGGGTTAGGGGTGGGGCATCCACTGCTGCCGCCGATGATGGTGGTGTGGTGCATGGCTACAATCTGAGAAATGCTGGAGGTCTACGCGAGGCCCTATGGGGTTTGGGGACCCCACCTCCACCTCTAGTGGCCGGGTCTGCAGTTAGGAGCTGGCGTCTCAGGCACCCTCAGCAGCAGGCCCCCCGGGAAAGGCACAGTGGCCCTCTTGCTGGTCTCCTTTGTTTAACCGAGCCAACCATTTACACGGAGCACTGGTTCTCAAGCTTCTTAGGTTGTGAAACATCAGGAAGCCCTGGGTATTGTTAGAGAACACCTCACACGTGAAGATACGTAATTCTGGGTTTTCACCGCATCTTGGTTTAGGCTGTAGCAGGAACTAAGTAACACCTGAAGGAAATTTTATAAAAGAAAAGTCAATGGCGGAGAAAATTCCACCCGTTAGCCTCTGCTGCAAGTTGCAGAAGACTGTTTCAGCGACGGGAAACCCTGGCCCGAGGTTTGGGAGCTCCATCGTTGCCTGAGCATTGGGAAAACGTGGGCAGTGCCTGGTGACCGCACCTCCCCATTTTACTGATGAGGAAACCGAGGCTTAGAGAGCAACAGCCACTTGCCAAGTCCCACAGTGGCAGGTGCAGGGTGGGATCCAGGTGTCTCGACTTTTTCCCTACAAGTCATACAGGTGCCTCCTCCCGGCTCACTGGGAGCCCAGAGTTGGGCAGAAGGGACAGTAAGGGACCAGGGAAGCCTGGTTGACTGGGAGGAGGGGGAGAGGGATTCTGGATGGTCAGGCTTAGGGTGGGCACCGGAGCTGGAGAAGGTAAGGGTCTACTGCCCAGAGAGGAGGCACAGAACGAGGTGTGGGGAGAACCCTGACTGGCTCAGAGCTGGTTCTGGAGGCACAGGTGGCCCACAAGGCTCTGCTGGGGTGGGGCTGGGGGGACCAAGTGGCCATCCCACCTTGGTGTGGATGTGGCCGCTGCCCCTGTCCCTGGAAGCATGTGAGCAGCAGCTCGGTGTATAGGGGAGCTCAGGGCAAACCGGCTTCACCCTCAGTTCTGCCACTTGCTAGCTCCGGGACCTTGGCAGGTTTCTCAGCCACCTGAGCTGAGCCTGTCGCATCATTTACAAAAGGGGCCAAACCCCTGCCTGATAGGTGTGTGAGGAGGAAAAACAGTCCAAGCACAGAGTCTGTGCCCAAGAAGTGGAAGCCATTCTCATCCTCTGAGCCCCACACTAAGTCTGCTGTGGGGAGTGTTTTCAGGAAGGTCTCGGCTCCCTAAAATGCTGCTGTGTCTCCTGCAGCCACTGCGCCCTCCAAAAGGGCATCGGTGAATTGGGAGGGGAGGCTTGTTACCTCCAAGCTCTGGCTGCCTGAAGAACCGGGGTAGACACCTGAGCAAGAGGCCAGCGGTGAAATGGTGTTTGGAGCTCGTGATGGGGTCTTGTTTGCTGCTGTTAACATATGGATATACCTGCTAAAGCTTTTGCTTAAAAAGCCCTCATTTCTACCTGGGCAAGTGTAGAAAGGGAGCATCATGGGTTTTTTGTTTGTTTGTTTGTTTGAGTATTGCTCTGTCATCAGGCTGGAGTGCAGTGGCGCAATCGGCTCATCGCAACCTCCACCTCCTGGGTTCATGCAATTCTCCTGCCTCAGCCTCTGGAGTAGCTGAGATTGTAGGTGCCCATCACCACGCCCAGCTAATTTTTGTATTTTTAGTAGAGATGGGGACTCACCATGTTGGCCAGGCTGGTCTCAAACTCCATGATTTTTTTTTTTTATGAACGGAGTCTCGCCGTGGCGCCCAGGCTGGAGTGCAGTAGCGCAATCTTGGTCACTGCACTCTGCCCTCCTGTCAAACGATTCCTCCTGCCTCCAGCTCTGGAGTCAGCTGGGATTGAAGCAGGGCACCTGCCTACCATGCCCAGCTAATTTTTTATATTCTTAGTAGAGACGGAGTTTCAACCATGTGGCAAGGCGGTCTCCAACTCCTGACCTCAAGTTGATCACCTGCCTCCAAAGCCTCGCCAAAGGTGCTGGGATTAACGGTGTGGAAGCCAGCATGGCCCTGGTCCATGATTTTTTAATTGTTAAGAAAAAAGCCAGGCAGCAATGGCTTGCACGCCTGTCAATCCCAGCAGTATTTGGGAGCCGAGGTGCAGATCATGAGTCAGTAGTTCGAGACGCAGCCTGAACAATATAGTTGAAATCCCATCTCTACTAAAAATACGAAACATTAAGGCCGGCGCCGGGAGGGTGGCCTGTAATCACAGCCTACTTGGGAGGCTGAGGCAGGAGAATTGCTTGAACCCAGAAGGCGGAGGTTGCAGTGAGCCGAGATCACGCCACTGCACTCCAGCCGAGGTGACAGAGTAAGACTCTGTCTCGAAAATAAAAAAGAAAAAGAAAAAGGATAAAAAAAGAGAAGGCACAAATAGTACGAGAAATGAGCAGGGAGGCACAACCGTATAGGCAGGAGATGATTTTTTTGTTAATCAAGAAAATACCTCTAACAGTTTTTTGCCAATGAATTTGAAGACTTAGATAAAGCATACTATTTGCTAGAAAAAATATAAGTCATCCAAATGGACTCAAATGAAAGAGAACAGACCTAAGATATCCAATCAGTGAGAACAGATCAAAGAAATGAGTCAGTGGTAAAAAGATTTACCCCTAAAATGTCCTGAATCTAGACAGGATTATTGACAAGTTTTATCAGAACTTCAGGGAACAGGTAATCATCGTCTTATATAAATAGAGAATAGAAAAAGGAAGTCTCGTTTTGTGAGACTTGCATAACCTTGACATTCAAACCTGGAAAGGATGATATGGAAGATAAAAACTACAGGCCAGCCTGACTGATTAATCATTGAAGATGAAAAATATGCAACATGAACAGTTGGCAGGCTGAATGTATAAAACAGAAAGGCATCTTCACCCATCAGGTGTATTCAGGAATGCAAGGATGGTCTGCCTAGAGAAAATCTGTCAGTAGAATTCACCACAATAAGAAGGAGAAAAATTACACGAGTGTCCCAAAAGATAATGGATAAAATTAAACCCCAATTAATGAAGAAAGTCTCTTAGCACAGGAACAACAGTGGGGCCTTTCTTTTCTTTTCTTTTTTTCTTTTTTTAAAAATGTTTCTTTAAGTTCTGGGATACATGTGCAGAACGTGCAGGTTTGTTACATAGGTATGCATATGCCATGGTGGTTTGCTGCACCCATCAACCTGTCCTCTAGGTTTTAAGCCCCCGATGCATTAGGTATTTGTGCTAATGCTCTCCCTCCTCTTCCCTCCACCCCCCGACAGGCCCCGGTGTGTGATGTTCCCCTCTCTGTGTCCATGTGTTCTCATTGTTCAATTCCCAACAGGGGGGCCTTTCTTAACCAAATAAATGGCGTCCGCCTCAACAGTACAGGGAACATGCCTGAAGGCTACTGGGAAGGAAAGGGACAGCTTTCATGGTGTGATATTCATATGTTCCCTTAAAATGAGGAAAAAGATACTTGATGGAACAGGAGCGTGTTTGGAAGATCCACCCCAACTCCCTGGGAGCTGGAAACTGGATGTGGTGGGGGCGGGTCAGGGGGAGCAGTGTTTTTTGTCTTTTGTCTCCTGCATAGTTTTAATTTTTTCAACAAACAAACCACTCAGAAAAGAAAAAATACTGTGTGGCACGTTGGCCTTGATGTTAGGAGACCCACATGTGAGTCTTCCCTCTACCGCACGGGAATGAGCGGGCGTTTCTGAGAGGTCAGCGCGAGGGGTCAGAGGTTGGGTGTTTAGGCTGATTCACCCAGATGCCAGCACGTGATGGAGTGGTCTGAAGACATGCTGTTCAGCTCATTTCTTTAATAGTGACGAAGGCGTGAGTTACGCCTGCGTCCCCATTGCAAGCCTTGACCCTTGAGCCCTGGTGCCTTGCCTGACTCTTAATTATCTTAAAAGAGATATCTTAAAGAGATTATCTTAAAGAGATAGTCGCTTTAGGGCGATGGATACTTTGGTATTCTTTCAAACTCACTGTGCAGGTACATTCCAGTTATACCCTGGGAGGCAGGTCTGCATCTGCTTTTGAACTATAGAAATGAGAAATGGAATCAAAGGTACAAACCAAGATCAACAACCTCATCATTCATTCCTTTTTCATCACTATTCACTATTACCAGCACAACTGATTGTAAATTAGGCTCTGCGGAGAGCTCTACATCCCCTTCTAATAGTGTTAGAGGCTGGGCGTGGTGGCTCACACCTATAATCCCAGCCCTTGGGGAGGCGGAGGTGGGAAGATCGTTGGAGGTTAAGAGTTCGGGAGCAGCCTGGACAACAAAACGAGTCTCTGTTTCTACAAAAAAATTAAAAAAATTAGCCAGATGTGATGCATGCCTGTAGTTCCAGCTACTGAGGAGGCTGAGGTGGGAGGATCACTTCAGCCCAGGAGGTTGAGGCTGCAGAGAGCCGTGATCACACCATGGTACTCCAGCCTGGAGTCCTAGCCCATCCTGGCTGCAGCTTCTTTGCCTGGGAGACAAAACTGGAGAGAGAGGAAGGGCAGGGCGGGGACTGCCTGGGTCCTAAGTAGGAGTAGGAGACTATGGTGTCACCAGCTCATCTGCCCCCTGCCCTGTCCAAATGGGCTGAAAGCAAGGCCCCCCTCCCCCCAGGAGCCTGTCCGTGGACAGAAGTCTTTAGAGCAGGTTACCTGTATTCCTAAGCCCAGGGCTGACTTTGAACATCAAGCCCTGGCCGGCCGGTGGGGGAGATAATCGCTTTAGGGTGATGGATACTTTGGTGTTCTTTCAAACTCACCATGTAGGTACGTTCCAGTTTTATCCTGGGAGGCAGGGCTGGTTCTGCTTTTGAACTGTAGAAATGAGAAATTGAATCAAAGGTATGAACCAAGAATATTTAAATTCAGGATGTTAGCACGATGAAGTCTTTTGGAGGATTCAGCTCTCTCCGCCTCTGTTTCTGGCCGGGTCTGAAGTGGCTGCAGATTCGGAACCAGCAGGAAACCCGGAATTTCACTTTGTTCCGCATTTCCCCCTGCTCCTTTGACGCCTTCTTCATCTAGACCTGCAGTGGAAGCAACAGAGTTAGAATTTGAAATGGCAAATGAAACTTAAGTCATCTGAGCATCTGCCTGTATCTCTGTCCCACGGCTGCACAGCTGCTCAGTGGACATGAATTCTGTTTCCAAACAGCGGGCTTCCCGCTCACCCAGAGGTTCTGTAGCCTCCAAAAGCTGGATGTGGGTGCTGCTTGCCTGGGCTCCCTGCAGCCTGGTGCCGCCACAGGAAGAGTAAAAGCATTCAGGGAGCACTGAGAATTTTCTGCTGTTCCAATTCTGACCCCTTCTCTCTCTTTCTCTTCTTAGTTGCTTCAACATTTTGAGATCAAAACATCTTCTCAGACTAAAGCCGTTCACGCAAAAACCCACGGGCTCCTGACGCCAGGGGGGCCCATCCATGTACGATTCGTTAACCGAAAGTAAGCCTGGATTTTAAACCTGGGCTGGCGTAGCAGACCAGCTCGCCGACACACAGTGGCTGTCTGTGTGTGGCTGATCACCGTGGAGAAGGAAAGCAAAGTCGCTGGAAGCTGTCTTGTTATAGACTGGCTTCCCAGGTCCTGGGACACTTGTAAATCTTTATGCAAAGTAATGTGAAAAGGTTGCTATTTTACTGGTGCAGGCCAGAAGTTGCCCTTTCTCTGGGGGAAACAGCTGTTTAAAAACCAGTGGCACTGAATTTTTATGCTTCATACATTGTGCTAGACTCAATATTTAATGACTGTCAGTATCCTATGCATTTACTTGTATAGGGAAATGGTGGTTTACTTACATATTCAGTTCTTCAATATATGTTCTCTAATACTGGCATCTGGGCTCGAATTGCCATCAACAGTAAGTTGAAGGCAATTTCAACTTACTGTTTCTGATTTGAAGAGGGAACATTAAGAACGCCTCTGTAATACCGTAATTTTGGGAAGAAAGCACCAGAGGCAACATTTTATCCTGAGCACCAGATTTAGATCCTGTTAAAGGGCTCAAACTTAAAAGGGCTGGCTGGGTGCGGTGGCTCACGCCTGTAATCCCAGCACGTTGGGAGGTCAAGGTGGGAGGATTGTGTGAGCCAGAAGTTCGAGACCAGCCTGGGCAACATGGTGAAACCCTGTCTCTACCAAAAATACAAAAATTAGCCAGGCATGGTGGTGCACACCTATGGTCCTAGTTACTCGGGAGACTGAGGCAGGAGGATCGTTTGAGCTCAGGCGGTTGAGTCTGCAGTGAGCTATCTATGATGGCACCACTGCACTTCAGCCCGGGCAACAGAGTGAGACCCTCTCTCAAAAATAAAATAATAAAATAAAATGACTGTATTCTTACTTTTCTCTCCGCGAGTGCTTAATTTTCCAGTCATAATGCCTGATGAATTTGACTATTAGTTTTTATTTGGAAGAAATAAAAAAGAAAGCTCCTGGTGAAATCAAGAATAATCAGATTTTCTAACCAAATCGAAATACGGAGTAGAGCAGATGTACAAGAACTGGAAATATGACTACGTAAAATTTTGTTGCGTAAGTTGTGAGAGGTAATACAACAGGCAGCATGGAAAACAATGTAACTTTAGAACGTTTTTATTTCAAGGAAAAATAAATACACAAATAGAGACGCTACAGATACGACAATAGTTTTATCTTGACGCTGTTGTTTTAAATATCCACACGAGAACCCTGACCCAGCTGTGTGCCTGTGCCAGGCTCTCAGGGAAGCCGTGGCTCCAGGAGTGCTGGGTCCTGCTGAGTTCTGTTGCCTTTCCTGCTGCTCAGTGGTTGCTAAGAGGAAACACCGTAATTTCCTGATGCTTTTGCCTTGTCATCATGCCTGAAACAGCTCATTCCCAATTCCGTAATTCCTTTTACATAATCCTTCTCCAAAAATGACTTTCCTACTAATATAGGCCATGTAGGGTTTTTTTTTTTTCCATTTAGTAAGTCATTCCAAAATAACCCTTAAGTAAATAGACATAATATCCGTTTCACATACCATTTTTGTTAAAGTATATAATAAAGTTGAAATCTGCATGATAGCAGAATCACTCTAGTATGGATACTGTAAGTGTACAGGTAAATGTGAAATTAGGTCATACTAACTGGCCAAGTGTTGGATTGATTACTTTGAGGTAGCAGTATACGTATATTAAGTTTTATAAACTAGACGAAATTGCATTCTGTTTGAGACTGAAATTTAAAATATTGAGAATAAGCGATTTGAAGTGACCTCTTATTCCCCGGATATATATACAGTGTGACCCTCTAGTGAAGTGTCTCTGCCTGGGGATCAGCACAGGGTGAATAGCAGAGTGTGGGCTGGGGGTAGCACCTGCGCCCGCTGCTCAGTCTCACTGAACAGGAAGGGAAGCAGCCAGAGCCAGACACGGGGGCCTCCTGGTGTGATGTAGCAGGAAGTGCAGGGTGCCACCCAGGAAGCATCCGTGCCAAGGAAATGGAGATTTAGCTGGACAAGTTTCTAGGTTCACTACTGGTTTATAGGAGACATGTGGTATACAAGGAGATGTCAAAACTCCATAGGGGGCTGGGCGTGGTGGCTCACACCTGTAATTCCAGCCCTTTGGAGAGGTTGAGGTGGGAGGATTGCTTGAGGCCAGGAGTTTGAGACAAGCTTGGGCAACATAGTGAGATCTTGTCTACTAAAAATCAAAAAACTTAGCTGCGTGTGGTGGTGCATGCCTGTAGTCCTAGCTATTTGGGAGGCTGAGGCTGGAGGATTGCTTAAGTCTGGGAGGTTGAGCCTGCAGTAAGCCGTGACCTGCCACCACACTCCAGCCTAGGTGACAGAGCAAGACTCCATCTCAAACCAACAAACAAGCAAACCCCATGGGGATGCAGTCAGCAAAATCCAGAATAAAGTGAGGTTTACAGGACCAATGTCTCGGGTTTCCAACAAAACAAATACGTGACAGGCAAAAAACAAGAGGAGGGGCCGAGCGAGGTGGCTCATGCCTGTAATCCTAGCACTTTGGGAGGCCAAAGTGGGCAGATAACCTGAGGTCAGGAGTTCGAGACCAGCCTGGCCAACATGGTGAAACCCCATCTTTACTAAAAATACAGAAATTAGCCAGGCATGGTGGCAGGCTCCTGTAATTCCAGCTACTTGGGAGGCTGAGGCAGGAGAATCATTTGAACCTGGGAGGCGGAGGTTGCGATGAGCTTAGATCACGCCACTGCACTCTAGCCTGGGTAACAAGAGCGAAACTCTGTATCTAAAACAAAAGACAAAAAAACCAAGGGGAGGGAAGAACTGTTATAGATGAAGCAATATAGGAGACATATTAAGCAAGTACAATGCTGGACTTTGTTTGAATCAGATTCAAATAAACCACTTGTTAAAAAGACATTTACGAGATAATTTTTAAAAATCAAATAAAAACCAAAAATACTGATTCTTCCAAACCATGAAAAAAGAGAGAGCAATTTGGGGAAATGTGAACGCTGACTGTGTGTATTTGATGATATTTGGGAATTACTGTTAATTTTTTTTGGTGTGATAATGGTAGTTACGTTTAAAAAAAGAGATCTTATCTCTTGGAGATATCTCTTAAAGATATAAATGTTTATGGCTGAAATGTTATGGCATCTTAGATTTGCTTTAAAGTAACCCAGCTTGCTGCAGGGGGTGGGTAATGTGTGTGTGGGGAGGTGGGGAGGCTGCGGGAGGAGGAAGTGACCCAGGGTTAGGCAGATGCTGCTAGCTGTGGGAGCAGGGTGGTGAGCGGGGCTCATGACACTATGCTGTCTACTTTGTGTACGTGTGACCATTTCCATAATAAAAGATGCCTTCAGAAACAAAAGACTGATCAATAATATCATCATTAATTCCTTTTTCATTACTATTCACTATTACCAGCACAACTGATTGTAAATTAGGCTCTGTGGAGAGCTCTACTTTCCCTTTATATAGTGTTAGAGGCTGGGCATGGTATGAGCCACTTGGGGAGGTATGAGCCGCTTGGGGAGGTATGAGCCACTTGGAGAGGTATCAGCCACTTGGGGAGGCGGAGGTGGGAGGATCGTTGGAGGTTAGGAGTTTGAGAGCACCCTGGGCAACAAGGTGAGTCTCTGTTTCTACAAAAAAATTTTAAAAATTAGCCAGATGTGATGCATGCCTGTAGTCCCAGCTACTGAGGAGGTTGAGGTGGGAGAGTTGCTCGAGCCTAGGAGGTTGAGGCTGCAGAGAACCGTGATCACACTATAGTACTCCAGCCTGGGTGACAAAGTGAGACCCCCATCTCTTAAAAAAAAAATAAAAAGTGTTAGAAATGATTGACTTAGGCTGGGCACAGTGGCTCACGCCTGTAATCCCAGCACTTTGGGAGGCTGAGGCGGGTGGATCACGAGGTCAGGAGATCAAGACCATCCTGGCTAAAGAGGTGAAACCTCGTCTCTGCTAAAAATACAAAGAAAAAAAAAATAAGATTGACTTAACACACTGCAATAGTACATGGGTTGTGCTAGGGTTTGGGGGACCTGCTGGGGCCTAGGTAGCCTCTGCAGCTGAGAAGGAAAGACAGGACAAGTCAGACAGCAGGAAGGAAAGGAGAAGCAGGACCCTGTGGTCCCAGCAGGGGCTTAAGTGGGTCAGACCACAGGGTGTGACAGTGGGGGGTGGTGGGGCCCATGGGGGCACTCCCTGCCTGAAGGTTTTCAACCTCCATTTTAAAGAATGCTGGGCAAATGAAAGGGCTCAGCCGCTGGCCAGGTCTCAGAAGCTGGCTAGGGGTCATGAGTGAGCCACAGGGCCCAGCACAAGCAAATGCCAGCGTGAGGCGGATCCACGGCCCCTTCCCGGCCGAGGCAGGTATGCCCATCAGAAAGGTGGGGGACTAGCACAGAGACAGCAGAGCCATTTAGGTAAAAGTAAAAAGGAACTTATCAGAGGGACACTGGGCATTTGTCAAACGGATGGGCCAGCAGACCAGCCAAGCACCAGCCAGGGCCATCCAGGAACCTTGCCTGAGGATCTGGGGCCTCCCCAGCTCCTGGCTCA